TTTTTTGGGTGTGGCCGAAGAGGAGAGATAGATTTGGACCCCGGCCGGGAGGCAAGAGATCGAGCTCAGGGATCTCAAGATGGCATTCCGCCAGAAGCTGATCAACTACCAGTGTGGATGGGCATCGAAACGCCTGGACCACAGCAGCGCGGACATGAAAGTGAGCCGGAGTCCGTATCGGACGATAGTTTTGAGTTGATTGCTGACGGCAGACGAAAAAACCTGCCGGAAGCATAGATAATGGCAACGCCATTAGGGGGAGTGAGGTTGCATTCCATTCCCTTGAGCTGTAAACAAAACAGCAACTTGATGCTTTGGCTCAAGAAAAGACAGCTTTTGTCCATTTGCGGATGCTTAGTGTCAAATGGCTGTGGATACGCTTCCATGGCTGCCATGGCTTCAGGGGCTCAATTTCTCACCCTATCCCCCTGCAGTTCACAAAGAAGAAGAACTTGATGTTGACGAAATCCAATGCCCTACATTGGTGGACTCACCCGTGATCTGTGCATTCATCAACTTTTCATGAGATCTAAAGAAGCATTTGACGCACCAGGTCCGTTCATTCTGAACTTCCCTCAGCGGGAGTTCAGAATGAACACTTACACCGCGCTCCCAGTGGAGCAAGTAGAAGCCGCTCGTGACGAAGAGGATGAAATCCAAATCGAAAGCCCGCGGTGGCCTCAAGCGGCCAGCATAAATGATGGATCCCTCCTGCATCTACTGTATCTCAACTGGAGGTGGTAGAAAATCTCAGTTCTGAATGGATCTGAATGGTACAGTATAAATATCTTTACTAATATATTTAAACTATTTTAAATCTATATTATATCATTATAAATCATGCTTTGGCTTGATATAGAATCTAGGAGTCTCTAGCACAGGACTTGTCCATCAACAGGGCGAGTCCACTTCATTGACTTCCCTTTCTGCCACAAGGCTTCCTGATTTGGTTGTCCCAAAGCTGCTTGGAAGTGGGTCCGACTCATGCTGCGGCGTGTAGCTTTTGCAAAAACCACACTTCAAAGCATCTCGCGGAGTTTCCTCGAAATTCTAGAATACTTCTGAACGTGCATCAGCAAAACAATAAGCTACTAGGAACAAGTGCATCGCTACTAGGAGCAAGGGCCTTACTAGTAGTAACAAGAAGATCAAGAAGCTACTAGACATCACATCTCTGAACCCATCTGGGCTTTCGCCCTCTTTTCCGGTCGGCCCCTTGCTCTTTCCGACCGACGTGTTTGCCGGGCTTTCTGCGGGAACCAGCAGTGCCGGCAGTAAGAAACTACCACGACACCACGACTGGGAAGACGGGTCGCCAAGAGCCTTGAGGGTATAAACGGATATAAAGGGTACAAAGGCTCATGGACCCTCAAACTGCTACATGTTGGAGGTCCAATCCCTGGTTGTAAGGGTCAAAGCCTTAGGAAACTGATGGTCCAATGAGCCTTTGGATCTTTGGGTACAATGGTTCCTGTGGTGAACCAAAAGCTTTGCAAGATCCGATTTTTGAGAATCTCTCCACTGCGAACCGATCAAAAGGACTGGGCATCCTTTTGGAATTTGAGAGGCCAACCACTCACAAAACACACCCAGAGCGATGAGCAACCACCCTGACCAACTCCACCAAACCAATCCAAGCAAATCCAACCATCCAGTGGCTTGGGTGACTCCGAGATCAGCATGCGATAGAGCTCCATCTCTTCCTGTTGCCGACTTTGGAGCAGTTTCTGCGAAATTGGATGCCTTGTCGGTAAAAAAACACTAATAAAAACATAAACACCAACAACACCACCAACACCAACACCAACAACAACAACAACAACGACGACAACGACGACACCAACGACGACACCAACGACACCAACACCAACACCAACAACAACAACAACAACAGCAGCAACAGCAGCAACAACAACACCAACAGCAACAGCTACAACTACAACTACAACTACGACAACGACAACGACAACCCATTGTCAGTACATGGAACACCTCTAGTCACTCAAGAGGCTGACGATGCCGTTTTGTGCTCATAAGCGAGAGTCATCCTACACCTAGAAGGCGTTACTCGGTTGAGAGGCAAATAGTCTAGCTAGTGAGTAAACGTTGAATGGAACAACTGGACCACAGCGACAGGTTTTGAAGCTCAGCAGTCTGCAGGTTTGGTCGCAGCCTCTTGGATGTGGATCAAAAGCTGAAAACACCATGATGGTACTGACACACAATGATTCAATGATGGTACAACCATTGTATGATTATTGTCAAGGTTACAGTAAACATCCCACGAAGACTCTTCAGCACAAGGTCACTTTTGCATACTTTTGCAAATTCTCTGCATGCCCCCAGTGGCACAAATCCTTCATCGACGCCTGCTTCATGGCGTGCAAATCCTTCAACTTCATGGTGTCTTCCTGGCCACATCAAACCACCTGCTGTCTATTTCCTCACCAAAGCTCGGGAATAATGGGACGACTCCCGACGAATCCGCCGCGGCAAAATCACTGATACAGTAGCTGCTCTGGTTCTTGTAAAGGTCCTGACAAACTTGTCACACAATCAGCAACGGTTTTGATGCGTCATTAGTGAGATGAGTGAAAAACAAACAAACAAAAACGCGTGTCGCTACATCATGCTACATCTAGCCTTTTCCGTTCCAAAAGCATGTGACTTCTCATTTCGATGGCCATTGCCAAGCCATCGGTCAGGGCACCCACCTGGACGCATTGCCCATCATTGAGCGTGAGGTGTTGCTGATCGCGAGGGATCCAAAGCAACAGCAGGAGCCTGAGCAAAGCGACGCTGAAACGTGGAGTCAAGTGAGTCAAGCATATAATTTAGGAGAGTTAGATAGAGTTAGTATCCTGTAAAATAAAATGTGTTTTTGTTTTAGTACTTTGGTTCAAGAAAGAGTCAACAGCGTTTCGATGGCCTGAATTCTCACCCAAAACACAACGCTGTGGTCCCAGACCGGCAAAAGTTTAAGCGCCGCCCACGGCCAGTAATTAACTGTTATTGGTGAGTGAGTCTCTCTCTCTCTCTCTCTCCCTCCCTCCCTCACTCTTATTCTAGCTTGTGTTGACTGTCGGCCCATAAGTACTGGCCCTACGCAACCACAAGTTTTCAGGGTAGCTCAAAACAAGTCCCGCACCAAAAAAATCCCAGCTGTTCAAGTCATGCTAGGTCCCCCCTGTCCTACGGCACAAAGTGGTATGTATATCAACTAGTGAAAAAGAACATTCTAAATAACACCTTTAATTCCCTCGCCTTGCAAGTTGGTGGCAGTGACCCTCCAAATATGCAACATTCACAGACCAGCCCGGCCAAGGTGCTCTTCTTTCAAGTCCCTGACCTCGATCTGTTCGCTGCTTCTCTCTCTCTCTCTCTCTCTCTTGTGCTCGGTACCCCCCCCGCCAATTAACATGGACGGTGAAAATAGACCCTTGTAAGACCATTATAAAACCATTCTCATCTACCACCAGGTGGTTTTCAGGGTCAATGTTCAGGAGGGCATTACATGCTCCGAATTCTCATGCCTTGTGGGATGGGATTACCCCTCCAGGTCCCAGTCTCTCAGCTAAGTGAATCGACGCCATAAACCGACGCCCCACTGGAGTGTCTCCCCACCCGTTTTCTCTCTCTCTCTCTCTCTCCCTGTTTCTTCCGACCCGTTTGACCCGTTTCCTGGGCCCTCTGGGAGTCGGAAATCGGTCCTCCAAAACTCTTGGGGGTCCTTGGAACACCAAGGAATAGCAACAGCAAAGGTGTTTAGGAATAATATGTTCATATATGTTCCTCAAGCGGAAGTGATCGAAACCAGTTGCCCTCGGTCTGTTTCACTAAGGGCAATAGCCATAGCCCGGACTTTCCTACATAAATCATACCGCTAATATTTAAGAAGATTGATATATATATATATAAGAAGGCAAACCGCAAAGCCTTGGGGAGTTTGCTGGTGGTCGGGCGCATGTGTGCTAAATGTTTGACTCGGATTCAACCTAGTGCCGACAGCTGACAGCTTTTACATGCAGCCTTTCCAAAAGGCGTGCAGCATTTCATCATTGCTGATCCCCACCGACTTCATGGCTCTAAGCCGAAAGTACTTGTGAAAGGCAATCTGACCATATCTTACCACATTTCACACACCAAGTTGACAATCTTCCCTAAAAGCCCTCACCCTTCAAGAAGGGCAGCAGGTAGAGATCGTGTTTTTTTCAAGTGTCTATCTGCAAAGTCAGTGATGCAGGGAAAAAAAAACAACAATGAAGTCTTTGACTCATCACGTCCATGCCTCAATTGCAGCAACTCCTCCATCCCCCAACACAAACGAATCAAAAAAGCATGTGTTCCACCTGCGGTCTCGGCACTGCAAAGTCGCTCGGCACCTTCGCTGCATAGAGCTCCTGACCTCCTTGGATCGAGATGCGGAGAAAGACCGCCCAAGTGAGGGAGGGTGAAGCAACGGAAGACATGGCAACTGAAGAGACGGATCTGCCGATCTGGTTCACCCAACTTCATCGGCAGTTCATCCACATCCAAAACGGCAAGTTACTTCTTTTCCTCCTTTATCTATGCCGAGAGGTCCAGTCTGTCCAGGCCATGTGGACTTTTAGAGTCAGAGATCTGCCAAGAAACCCGCCGCAGAAACGCGCACATGGAGGCGCGAGCGAGTGCTGCGCTCCTCAGGCAGGTGACGGTGGGCCAATCTGCCCAGCGCGGAAACCAGAAGATCTATACAATATATATATATATGTTGTAGATATTTGAGAATTTCATGGAATTTCAGCTACATTGATAATAATTCATCTCTCCACACAACTTTGTTCTCTGGTTTTGACCCCAAGGTATTAACTGCCGAATCCACAAAGACTCAGAGTAAAAGGGCAGTGAACAAACACACAAATTGGACATCTTATAATAATATTATTACGGATCCCCTTAAATTGAACGATCAGGGATGAATTCGGTGGATGTTCATCTCAAGCAGATTCCCAACCATGGGTAGAACAGCTTTCTAAAACCACTACTGCCATCACCAACAGCTTCAGCACTTCCAGCCGCCAGCAGAACGACCACCCACTTTGGTGCAGGTTGAGCAGCGCCCATGGCTCTGCAATGCGGACATGGCAAGAATGCCAGTCAAAGATGAGGTGCAATACAGGTATGCACTCGTTTCAGTCGTTCAACAGGTCTCACCGTTCAGTTCAGGTCGTTTCTGTCTCTCCCTCGCTCACCCCATCGCTCATAACTCCATGGGACACCAGAACCGTTCGTGTTTATCATCCCAGTTGTTCACATAAAATTGTCTGGTTTCAGTGCTCAAGAAGTCTCATTCTATAGAGAACATGTGCAGGAGGATCCTGCAAATCCAGATTTGGAGTGATTTCTGCAGTTGATCGACTATCTACACCACGTGGCACGGATTCTGACGAAGTCTCCGTCGGGATTCGGCCGACTCTCAAGGTACAAATGAAGTATCATCTTCCTGACGGAATAGAAAATAAAGGCACTGAATGGGTGTCCGTACTTGTCCAAGGGTCCAAACCTGAGCAATTTCACATGTATATGACACATGCTTGTCCATTCTGGTGTTTCCATCCTGGAGACAGGTGTTACACCAGTCTTTGTTCAGCTTCTGAGCGTCATGACCTGACGAAAAAGAAACCGCCTCCGTGCTTTTGATTGAACGTGGCCCAGTGGGTCAACAACAGCTTTCTGAAAGTCCCTTGGCCGCTTCTGAGCCTGTACATTGGCCCAGCGGGGATTCGAGCCGGGTACTGAAGACATGGGTCAAGCACGGCGAAGTTGTTGCCTGGATTACTTATTGCAAGTCTTCAGTTGGTGGACATCTGCTCACGGAACTCATGGTCTGAATTGGTCTCCAAAGGTGTGCCATCGACTGTGAAACCACTGTAGCCTATAAAAACCTCACAAATCCTGCTATCCGATATCCCAAATTCTGATCCAGACGGGTTCGAGGTTTCTGGTCACCAGAATCATTCCGTACGAAGTTGCTGCCCCTGCTGGTCTTGGTGTGATAAGATGTGATACGTTAAAAACACCACACGATTTGGGCATCGTTGTTCACTCCGTCTCTAGAGGCGATTGGTGAACGTATCTAAAGAAAGCCACGGTTCAGGAGCCCCAACACCCATCTCTATGCCTTTTGCTTTAACACCAAGGTGTTCTTTTCTCGAGCGTAAGCGCCATGAAGACTTCACGCGCTTTTGGCGTATCTGTTTTCATTCTTTTCCCTGGCGATGGCGTCTCTTTTGGGGTCAACCCCAAGTCGTCCCAGGCTCCCGGTGCCTCAGCCAGGACATCGGCAGCCTCTTTCTTGTGGACTTCCTGCTCCTGACTTAACTGCCTGGCACGGCCGAAAGCTGAAGCACACCTCGGGATGGCCGGGTCAGGTGGGGCCAGATGAACATGGTGGAAAATGGTGGAAGTAAGACTTGCAAGTATCACTAGTGAGGCACTGACTCACGCCCATGGTGACTCTCCCATGGGCCCATGAACTCCCATGCCGCAGTTCTACTGGGGATTGATACTCCGTTGAATATATACCCCCGGACGCTCCATGTATTGCCTGTAAATATCCACATGTGGAATCATTTGGGTGGTTTCAGGGGTCAGTATAGGTTGTTTCTCCGTGCATGGGCTCCCCATCCCTTTCACCCATAGGAAAACGTGCTGTTCCAAACTTGGAGTGTAGTCCCACCGGGGGTCCCACTGAAAGATCGTTGGAATCCACCAAATCAACCTAGGATGAAGAACAAAAGGCCTTTTGCCTCACATCAATAGCTCTTAAACAACAAGGAAACAACACTCCGGTGTGGCAGGTTCTCTACTTAGGAATACTTAGGAAGTTAGCTGTCAAACCACTGCCACAGTGCCTAGAACTGCTGCTCATGGTGGAAGCCTCCAGGACTGACTAAACCAGGACTGACTAATCCGACCCTCAACGTGCCAAAGCGACTGAATGTCACCTTGCAACTGTCCTCAGCTCTGCAACGACTGCTGGGCTCACTAAGACGAACATGAACATACTGCCATCAAGTTGAACATGGCGGAAATGGCCCATAAAAAGAGCCGTGCGCAAAATGAGATACCGCCAGTCCATGGTGTAGGTACTGTAGATTGATTTCCTCATGTTTCTTTCTATTACTTGTCCATGTTGTCTATCTTCGGCAATCATGGATATCTTCTTCCGAAGGTGCCATCTATGCCATGGCACCGTGGTTTTTAAACCTCATCGCACCACCTGTTCCAAGGCCACCACGGATGGACTCTCGCAGTTTGACCATGTCCTGGGCCGCCTGAGGAGCAGAGACTGGCATAGACTGGCATTTGGACCTGAATAGGACATAGGGGTGCAAATCACAGGAAAACTTCCAAGTGGTACCAGCCTTACCAGCCTCTTGTGAACTTCCCAACAGCTTGGAACCACGTACGTAATCAAAGGAATGTCCAAAGAACTTGCAAAAACCACGCTTGTTTCCTAGACATGAATTGAGCGTCAATACGAAGCCTGACCGGTCGTAATGATTTAGACCAATTGCAAAATGAAGGGGTTGAAGCATGAACTGCGGTAACCGCTGCATGCCGCATGTCCCGTTTTGTTGAGCATCCCACTCTCTGAAACTCAAAAGCGTGTTACAGTACAGCACATGCATTCTCACAATGCACTTGCAACGATTGAGCTGCTTGTTGAAAGCACCCAGCCTGAAGCTGAACGGCTTGAAAGCCGTTGAAGCTGCGAGATACAAGCTGCAGCTCCTCAAACAGCCCAAACCCGCAAACTGAAGATGCGACGAAGACAGTTCCAAACATGTATAGGGACTTTGGCACCGGAGCTTGCATGGTTGTATCCAAAAAGTGCGTGCGTTCAAGAAACCTAGGGGATTCATCAACCATGTTGTCACTGACAGACCATGTGGGAAGCCAGATGTGGGGTCTGGCGCTGACCGAAACTCACCGACGACCGACCAACCGCCGACGAAAGCGAATGGCAGACCCACTGCGTTCGGGTATCACACCTGAACTGCGTTGCTTCTGATTTGCGAAGATGTATCTATCACACTATATAATAATACAACATGTTCTTGTTATTCCTTGTTATTTAGTTAGTTCTTGTTACTTGTAGTTGACACACTTCAGGTTGCGGGTTGAGAATTTGGCGTTCGCCCCCGGCCATCGACTCCGTCTTCGCACGTCCTGGGCCACCGCCGCGTGCACCTCGTTGAGGACCTGGGCTGCGAGCTGCGAGGTGCATCGAGGTTTCTGAGAAGGTGTGATTTCACCATGGTGATGAACCACTATATAGACCATGGACATATAGGTGGGCGGAAACAAAGGTGTTGAACAACCAGGAATACCGATACTGGTTGGCTTTACATGGAGAGAAGAATCAAAAGGCCCCGTTCTCAGCTGGAGGGCTAACTTGAGAGCCATCCTTGGCATGGAGCCTGATTGTTCAGGTACGTCAGGGAATTTGCGATTCAAAATGCTTGTTCCCCGGAGAAGCAGAAAACCATGTCCAGCGATGTGGAGATGCGTACCACTATTCTGTTACATTGAGATGATCCCTTAAAATGGGATGTCCCCAGCTCGATCTTGGTTACCGTCAACAAGAATCCCCTCCGCTGTGCTCAAACGACTTCGGCAACTCACCGGTCGAGGAGGGGGCCTGTGCATGGAGATTTCCCAAATCCTTCTGGATCTTGTCATGACCTCAGCCATCGTGCGTGTCACACATACGAAAAAGGAAAGGAACTTTGAGTGGAAAGCCTCGGATGAGGATGTTCTACTATGATGGTTATATAATGTTATGTAATGATAATTTATTGATTCGATGTATAAGATGTAAAACATATTGAATATTGGGAAGGGAAATCCAGCAAAAACCATGCCCACTGGCGAAGGAAGCGTAGGTGGGATGTCTGATGGGAGACATCATATCTGCAATTTCTGTGAGTTTGCCCACTTTGCCATTGACCATTTCGGGTGCCAGTGAGAGGGGCTCAGGTTCCTGAAGTGGGGATCTTGATGCAAACACGGCACAGTGCTGCGCCTGGTATTGCAACTCCGCCTGGCTTCGGGAACCCAAACCGATCAGTACATGGACTATACATGAGGTTCCCGTTGCCATTGTCTTGGAAAGTTAGTCTTAGGTCTTGACAGGTTTTGAGACAAAGCCAAGCAAGCACTGAATCTGACTGAATCTGAATCTTTTGCCAACCTAAAATTATGAGGACAATGTAGCACAACATAGCACAACGACTCTCCAGACTCAAGAAGGAACATGGACAATGTTCATTGTCTCTAATACAGAGTTGGGAATTCATTTGGGTTTGTCTCTACATGATAAGGATAAACAAACTATGCAGTGAGTGAAACTATCTATTTTCGCTGTTGATTACCCGTGGCCTTCAGCCACACCCACCCACGTAATATGTACATGTATCTTGCATCTCCACATCTCCGTTCATTCATGTCATCCCCACGGCCTCCAGTGTCTTCCAGCTTGCCTTCGCCTCAAAAAGCCCGAGTTCGCTGGGGCCGGCCAGAAGGCCCTTCTCCAATGGTGGATGACAATCAAAGGGATCCCAATTTAGGGAGACCTCTCCTGGAGAAACTCCGAGACACTCGTGAAACACGCCACCTCGACAAATCCCCGCCCTGATCCGGCATCCAGACGCGTCGACGCGAAGTGGACGTGCTGAAAATCATCTGAAAACTCTGCACATTACATCTCAAAATCATTCAAATCGAGGTTGCATTCAACAAAAAGCGACCCAAGCTGTCTGGGTCAAGCTGAAATTACGGCTGTCATTGAAACGCGTTCAAGAGGAGCCATTAAGACTCTCTTCTTGGTGGGATTGTGTGGGGAGTTTCAACAAAGACAAGACTTCACGTTCGGGGAATGCATGTACAAAGACCTGGGTCATGGTCCAGCGGAACAACACTGGATGTGAGTCCAAAAAACTCGACCTCCAAGAGCGGTTGATATGAGCGTGTATTATAGTGTATTATAGTGTATGAGAACAGTAGAACCCCCTGGCCCAATGGTTTTGAGGTTTTGATCCATGTTCCTTCTTCCAGGGGCTCCTGCGGGGTCTCCTATTGGAGTCTTTACACACTGGTAAAC